GATGGAAGAATTCGATGGTGCAGACATTCCAGGTGGAGATGACGAGCCCAACCCTGGTCGTGACTTGGAAGAGCAGATGGTGCACTATGAGATTGGTGTTGCACTTCCAGAGGAGATTTGAGTGAACGAGGTCCCACTGACAGTCGACAGCCCCCTGAGGAACCTGAGAGCTGCTTGTGCTTTCTACAGGATCGGACAGAGTGGAGGAAAAAGGAAATGCTTCAGTCGGCTAGTGGCTCATCAAGGTGCACTCGAGCTGATGATGGCCAAAGACTTAGCTGCTCGAGGTCAGGCAATGGGGCAGAGGATTCCAGTGGAGCAGGTGACAGCAAAGGTCCCGACAGAAGCAGAGCGGAAAGCCCATGAACTTACTCATGTCCCTTACGCTCCATGGTGTCCTGCCTGCATCAGGCATCGAGCTCGTCCTGATCAACACAGAAGGACGGGGAAGTCTCATGACCAAGGAGTCCCAACAATCTCCTTCGACTTTTGCAAGGTGAAAGCCAAGGGTTCAGGAGCGATTGGAGCAGAAGAAGAGGATGCTGCTCAGGAGGGTGTCCAAGATGATGAAAGTGGAGCGCTGCTGATGGTTGCGGTATGCTCAGAAACAGGCTCGCTGTTGGGTTTGCCCTTGAAAACAAAGAACCAGATGAACCTCATCGCCCACGAGCTGCTTGCGTTCACTCAGATCCTAGGCCATGAAGCTGTGCAGTATTACTGCGATAACGAACCTACAGCAAGGCAGATTGTTCGCCTCTTGGTGTCTTCAAGGACAGCTATGGGATTGAAGACTACAATGAGGACAACGAAGCTCTATGACTCAGCTGGCAATTCTTTGGCTGAGAATGCAGTTCAGAGGGTAAGGGGTCTTGCAGCTTCGATGATGGAGAGTCTGGCGGAGAAGATTGGCTTGCGATTTCAGCACCAACATCCACTATGGTCTTGGGCGTGCCGCCATGCTGCATGGACCCTGAACCGCTATCAGGTGCTGAGAGGAACAACGAGCTTTGAGTTGACTCATGGCAAAGCCTACGATGGCAAGATGTGTCCTTTCGGAGAAGTGGTGTTCGCCTACACGAAGCAAAAGCAGGGCTTCAAAGCAGACCCAAAGTGGAAGGTGGGCATTTGCTTGGGGAAGACAGAGGTGCAAGATGCATGGGTCATCGGAGATGGAAACAGAGTCTTCCTTAGCAAGTCTCTGCATGATGAGGATGCCAAGGAGGTCATAGCCTTCTCGAAGTCCTATGCGGGAAAGCTGGAGGAGGCAAAGGACTTGGTCGAAGTGGTTGAGAAAGAGAAACTTCAAGCCCAGGAGATGAGTGAAGAACAGAAGATCGTGGAGGACAAGAAGCTGGACTATGTAGAAGAGAGTGTCAGTCTGCCACCAACCAGAGCAAAGGATCCCAATGTGGTTGATGACATGAACAACCAAGCTGGACCTTCGATGCCTAGCACTACCTCGAGAAGCCCAGCACATAAGAGTAGCCTCGGCATGACGGGCGATGAAGGAGATGCGAAGAGGTTGAAGTTCACTACCTTCAAGCTTGTGCATGAGAGTGAAGGTGAGAGCTCAGAGACAAAGAGGCAGAAGGTTGGAGAGGAGAAACCGCATATCGAGAGAAGGGTGCAAGCGACAGAAGTAGGAACTGAGGTGTACTACCACATGGACCAGTTCTTTGGTGAGGAGGAGTTCTTGTCTTGGGATGGAGAAGAGGAGGAGACCCCATCGACGATGATTCCCAAAGAGTTGTGGTCAGAAGCACCCTTGGACAGAATTCCAGCAGATCCGCCAGCTTGGATCGATGATCTGGCAGATGAGGTGGAAGAGCAGAGACTCTTGAGGATGGGAGTCCTGGAAGCTATGAAGGAGGAAAAGGCAGGTTTCAAGAAGTTGACGACAAGGTTTGTCAGGGACTGGCGAGTGAAGCCTCGTCAAGACTTGCCACCCAAGCAGTTCCTCAGAAGATCCAGATTGGTTGCTAGAGAATATGCAGTGGATAGGCGAGATGCCGTGCACAGCCCAGCAACCGGAGGACAGACGTTGCGTTTGTTGCCCATCATCTACCTCATGAAGAAGCTTGAAGAGCGAGATGGAGGTGAGGAGTTCTGGCTGGGTTCAATGGATGTGAAAGATGCCTTCCTCCAAGTGCCTCAGGAGGAGCCAACACAGGTGAGAACCGCCAGGGGCCACTATGAGGTGAAACGCAACCTGCCAGGTCAGAGACTAGGAGCCAAAGCATGGTTTGACTACTTCACGGACTGGTTGAGGAAGAAAGGATTCCAGTTCTCGGACATCAATCCATGTCTTGGGAGAAAGGAAGACCGTATGATGGTGCTGATCCATGTAGATGATGTTCTTTACCTTGGCAGTCGAGAATATGTGGAGGAGATCTTCCTGCCTGACATCAAGAAGAGCTTTGACATTTCGGAGCAGCACTTGTCAGGAGATGGCACGACCTTTTCTTTCCTGAGGAGAACCTATGAGCAAGCACCAGAAGGGTTGAAGATTCTGCCAGGTAAATATGCCGAGAACATGATCGAGCAATACGAGTCTCAATTGGGCCGAGCCAAGATCCAGAAATTGCCATGTGGACCTGAGATGCTCGAGCAAGATGGAACGTCCATGGTGAGTGGAGAGTTGGCCAGTCTCTTCAGATCCCTGGTTGGCTGTGGCATTTACTTGTCTCAAGAGAGGATGGATGTGTCCTTTGCAATCAAGGAGTTGGCATCCTCGATGGCCTGCCCAACGACAGGGAGTTTGAGGAAGCTTGGGAAGCTGGTTGGCTATTTGAAAGCAACAATTGGACAATACAGTCTTCTTCCGTATCCAGAACCAGGACACGGACATGCCACCAGAACAGCTACTTCAAGATGGTTGCTTGAAACCTTCACGGACAGTGATTGGTCAGGAGCAAAAGGGCATAGAAGGTCAACGCCAGCAGCAGTGCACATGGTGAATGGGAACGTTGTCTTGGCAAGTTCTAGAGGCCAAAAGTCAGTTTCCTTGAGTTCTGCTGAAGCAGAGCTAAATGCTCTTGTGAGTGGAGCAGCCGACGGGATCTACCTGAGAAGGTGCTTGGAGTTTCTCATGGAGGAGAAGGTGGTGCACCATTGTTTGGTGGACAACTCCGCGGCATTGCATCTGTGTCACAGGAAGGGCCCAGGCAAACTTCGGCACATTGCTGGCAAATTGTTGTGGATTCAGGACATGGTTGCACAGGGAGATCTTGAAGTCAAGGCCGTAGGAACAGTTGCCAATGTCGCTGACCTAGGCACCAAGCCGCTAGCCAAAGCCAGGGTGAACCTCATCCTGTATTGGTGCCAGATCTACAATGGTGATGGAGAGAGGATTGGACAAGAAGAGCAACAACGACTTGAAGAGAGCAGTGTGAGTCGCAGCAAGATCCAGAGGCTTGCAAAACTGCTCAACAGAATCTTGCTGTTGGAAGGCCTTGAGCATGTGGCTGGTGAGAGGGTGAGCAAAGAGGAGGATGTCACCGTGACCAACCACAGTCAGTGGCTATGGGCATTCATTGTGATCCTGATGGTGGTGATTGCCGTGCTGATCTTCGGCATTTACCAGCTCTGGAAGAAGCTTGAGAGAATGGAGACAAGGCTTCAACAAGTGGTTGATGATGTGAAGGTTGACGGCATGATGGTGGGAGCCTATGGCCATGAGACGAAGGAAGCAATAGCTCAGGTGAAGAAGTATGTGGAGAAAGTGCATCGAGGCTTGATCAAAGCTTCAGGCTATGTTGACGATGATGAAGTCTTGATGGAAGACTGGAGGCATTGGGACTACCTCCAGGATACCAACAAGGAGTTCGACATGAGAAGGCTTGACAAGCAGATCAAGGATTACCTTCAGAGAAATGTTGAGCAGACACGTCGACACCTGAACATTCGAGACAACACCTTGAGAGACAACACCTTGGGAAGTGAAGAAAGTGAAGAAGGAGAACATGATCCAGATGATCTAGTACAAGTCAGGCTCGAATCTGGACAAGTGGTGACAGTGAGGGCAGGTGACCTTGAACCTCGCGAACCAGAAAGTGAGAATGAGGGACCGGTACCTATGGAGACAGAGCCAGAAAGGGTACCAGATCGAACAGGGGAAGCACTTGGCAGTGGCAGCAGAGACCTGGAGTTTGAGGATTTGACTTTGTCAGCACCAACAACAAGGTGGCTTACAGATGCACGACAAGCCAGCCGCCAGGTCCTGCTTGCGAGCCAAACAATACTCTCTGCAGTTTGAGAAGAGATGGTTTGAACTCAATGAGATGAATGAACATGAATCCAAAGCAGAGATGTACGCGAGAATGGAACGCCATATGGACTTCCTTGACAGTAGTGAGGTTCCCTTTTAGAAGTGACGAAGTGAGCACGACACTTAGCTCACATCGTCAAGGAGGAGTACGTAAAACAATCTACTCAACTCCGATACGACATGTACAGGATTTCGCACTTGAGGCCTTCGTGGTTCAAAACAGCTCGCATTGACAAATGTACATTGTAATTCGCGATGGAAGACACAGTGAGGAGACACTGTGAGGCACCTATAAGTGCATCCTTACATCATACCAGCACGTCATTACCCCCACCCCACCCCACCCCGCCCCACCTGACAAGCGAACACCAAAGTGCACAAGTGCAAGGGCGGTATCAGCCGGGGACCAACCACAACATAAATGTTTTGTGTCATCACTCCATCTTCACCTGTTCGGTTTTTGGAAAAATTGTTCGCTTTCCAAACTGTTTAATTTTCCGGTCTTCTTTGAAACCTTCTTGGTCCTCGGCGTTTCTAGCGACCATATTAGAATAGCGTGGGCGCTTCTTCAAGGAAACTCCCCCGCCCTTAGGCGGGAGAGTTTCCTTCAAAAAACGCGAGCTATCCTGCGTCCTACATAGGAGCTGACGTGGTCCTTACTTGATCAAGTAGGCATCTACTTAGATAAGCAAAGGCGGGCCAGAAAGAAACAGTGAAAACATCATTTTTCAAGGTGGGGAGAAGTGCCTTCGGTGGTCGTGGGTCACTCCGTGGGTGAAGTCGCTGCTGCCTATGCCGCTGGCATCTTCACAGCAGGGCAGGCCATCAGCTGCGCTTATCATCTTGGTTTGGCCATGTTGGAGATGAAGGGAACGATGCTCCACACGGAAATGCAACGAAAATGTTTGCCAACTGAGGCCAGAGATGCGACGTCAGTTCTCCCATGCTGTCAGCTCCAACCTTTCTTCCTTTTCTTTTTTTTTGTTTCTAGTAGCAACGGCCTCCAACCTGATAACGATGGCCTCCAACCCAATAGCGATGGCCTCCAACCTGATAGCAATGGCCTCCAACCTAATAGCAAAGGATATTACACCTTTGGTCCTTTTCTTGTGTCCTTGTTTCTAATAGCAATGGCCTCGCCTCTAACCTACTAGCATTGGCCTCCAACCTAGTAGCGATGACCTCCAACCTACTAGTAATGGCCTCCAAACTAAGACTCCAACCAAATAGCAAGCGATATTGGACCTTTCTTGGCCTCCCACCTAATAGCGATGGCCTCCAACCCAATAGCGACGGCCTCCAACCTAATAGCGATGGCCTCCAAACTAAGGTAGTTTACACAAGCACTTATGTGCTTTCAAGGTAGGAAGGGGGGTGGGCAAGCTTCAATCTGATAGGTCTTTGTTGGTTGAATCGCATGTTTGCCAAGAAAGGTTTTGGCTTTCGTGTTGGAGTAGTTGTGTTTGACTGAAGATGGTGGCATGCAGGATGGGTTCCAGTTGGCAGCGGTGAACTATGTGATCAAGAGAGGAGCCACTGAGGAGGAGGATTTGCTCAGCGTGACCCTTTGTAGCCTTGGTTCTGCTGAGGAGTACTTAGCCAAGGATTCGAAAGCCACACTTCTGAAACCGGAGCATGCTTGGCATCACCGGGTTTGCTGGCAGCATTTTATCGAACACATTCCAACTTTGGATGTGAATGTACGCCGGCCCTTTCTTACTGCTCTACATCGTGCCTGTTTTTTTGCGTTTCGCTACTTTTGTGCAAAAGTAAATCATCTCTTTCTTGTAATTCTTCTCTTTGAAAGGCATGCAAGCTGCCAGACTCCCTGACGCTTCCTCACGGCCAACGTTCTTCCAGGATCTTCATCTCTGCAGTCACAGGGACTCAACTGGAGGAACTACCGGAAGATCACTGGCAGCGCTGGTGCAACTCCCCTGTGAATTTTGAAAAAGCTCTGGAGAAAGCAAAGGGGATGCTTCAAGGAGCATCTCCGGTAGTGCTGGAGATGGGGCCGCATCCAGTCCTTTACCAAGCTGCCAAGGCACGATTTGCACATATTTGCACCAGAACCATGTTGCGCAAACATTGCAGAAACATCCTTCATATAGTTAAGTTTCCCTCAACATCTAGGAACAAATGAATAGTGCGAGCACTGCTAGCCCCTAGTAGCGTCCTTGCTCCTAGTAGCGATGCCAGGAGCCCCTAGTAGCGTCCATGCTCCTAGTAGAGATGCCGGGAGCCCCTAGTAGCTTCTTGCTTTTACCATAGTAGCTTCTTGCTCCTAGTAGCGATGCCAGGAGCCCCTAGTAGCT